TCGGTCATACATTTGGACTCGATTGGAGCACTCTAAATGGGTCAAAGTGGGATTTTTCAAAATTTGCCCCTACCCAAAAGTTCGACCCAAATTGGGGGACATCAGAATTCGTTTTAGAGGTATGGTTCCTTCGGCAAAGTTTCTTATTTTGATCCCTAGAATACGATTTTCACAGAGCAATGAGCGATTTTTAAATCGACCCGCCCTAATATTCATATATAAAAAGAAAAATAGGAGGTAACAATTCCCATCGATGCCATAACAACTTCTGTACTCACATTAAAAAAATTTTTGGCTATGAAAAGAATATCTTGGAGCAGCGCGAGACAAAACTATGTTGTAGAAAAGGTGAATCACTTTCCTCCTAGTTGTTCGATCTGACGTTTTAAAAAGAAATATTTTGCATCTATCTGGCGAAATCAACTACAGTTGCGTTACTTTGACCACCCTTCTGTATCATTTGTATGCCTCTTCACAAAGGAGATAAGCAGTTGCCCGCACCAGAAAATGCCTTGAAATGTCAGTAAAAATAAGAACTGATTTCCTGAGAAGCTATTTGGCTACGTTCCAAATGTACCTAAAATTGGGTGTTTGTACCGAATGTACTTTCAAACTAAATAAAGGTACGATTGTAACAACTTTTCCATCACTATAGGTAATCCAACAGCTGATTTCGTATCGCTAATTGGGCAGCTGACGTGTGTGTGAACAGCAAACTCAATACCGCAATTTAAAGCTTAATTGCCTCAGCTAATTGGCCTGTTTGAACACAGTCGTAGAACAAAATGACTTTATGGGGAGTGTAGAGCGGGTCGTACACATCCAAAAACTGAAAACCGGACGGCGAGGAAACTCATACTTTACGAGTAATTTGTTGTTAAAGTTGCAAATTTCACCTAACAAAATGTACGATAACAAAGCATTTCAAACCAGAGCTGTTATTGACATAAGTACCTAGCTTAAGTTATAAAATGCTTTCCTGATAAATTATATTTTTACTACCTTTTATTCTGTATACTGAAATTTTTAAATTTGAAATGGCTTCTGACGGCTTCAATTTTCACGAAGAGCCGAGGAGGAAGCACGAATAAGTAGGTCGAGAAATTATCATTTTTTTCCTTTATTTGTAATTTTAAATATGCTTCTAGATATTAAAACGCAAGCTGTTTAGACGTTCGCTTACTGATCTGGAAAATAAAGTGTTCTTAATATATTCGTGTGCCTTTTTTAATAAGTTGTAATTGCCGCCGCAACATTTCTTTTTAATATTTATTCTCCGAACTGCCGTGAATAACCGCCATCTTAAGTTAACGCATGCCACGCTATAATCTGAGGAATAAAAATACAGATATCGCTCAGAATGCCGAAATCAAATGAAGATTCACCCAGCGTCAATGATGGATGGTCATACCAAACCACACAGTCGCAGATATGCAATAACAGATTCGTAAGTTGCAATTATCTTTGGAAGCCTCCGAAAAAGAGAGGTTATCTCTGAAGCGAACGCTTGCATCGACAACTTACACCGTCGACACGAAGACTAATGAGTCACTTGCTGACTCTGGTCACGTCAGTACTACCGCACCTGCTGCGCCGATGTATATCACTACATCAGCAACCGCCGATTACCCTGTCTACTCTTTGCCACATATGAGTTTTACTAACGCCGCCGCTCTTGCCACACAAACTTCTAACGTCGCTGCTGCCGATGTGTTTCCCACCCGTTCCTACGCCTACACAAGTTTCGCCAACACTATATCAGATAATCATCATATGCCCAGCTATGTTCAACCTACTACGTCTCATTTCAACCTTAACGCAGGTAAGAATGCCACTTTTTCCAACATCAATTCTACAGCCGCCGCATCGTTAAATGCCGCACCTTCGTCTCCTATACGGAATAATATCACACAAACAACATTCATACCATCACAACATCAACATTTTATTCGCAAATTACAAGATTTTCCACAGTTTTCAGGCTCACCAGAAGAGTGGTGTAGTGTCGCTTGTCGCCCTACAAAGATAACGTGCACTAGAAATGGAAGTCGAACCCATAAGCTGGCAACACCATTTCATTCTGATATTTTCAGGCAGCTGGTGTCGCCACCTATCGTTCGTTATTTTTCTTGTGGCAAGAGTAAACGTCAGTGCAGAATTTGCTTTAAGAGGACGTTTATTGCTTTGTATTTTTGTTTTGTCAACTTGGGAGAGGAAAGTTTTCCGCCAAAGGAGGTTTCCTTTTTGAAGTACCGATTAACTTCAGCCTTTTTCTAGTGGATTTCAATCAGATCGGTAGTGCACGCATACGCTTCCTACATCACCCCGATCTTCCCCAGGTGAAGTGTTAACACGTGGAATTTTATTAAAGTTTTCAAGCTCTAGTTTTATTCGGAAATATTGTACAAAAGCTATTCCTCAACGCACCTGGGCTGAATTGCGTTCAATACCGAGAAAAAGAATTCCTTTGGCCCAAAGTAGCCACCAGCTACGACGAAACCGCATTTCATTTTGCGTATAAAGTTGCCACCCATCCCCTTTGTCGT